GTGCAAGCTGAACCTAGATGAGAACAGGGTAAAGAAAGAGTGCAAACTATTTCTTTCTTGATCAATGACAATTGCATTGTCCTCATATCCGATTTTCAAACCGTTTTAACCTTTGAGTTCTTTACATGTAATTATAATTATAGCTCTAATCTTTCTATAAACATTGGTACAATAAGAATAATGTTACCAATATGAGCATGTCAGTGATTACTAGCACTTATAATTTGAATACACCTCAATTCTCGAGCCATCACTAGAATCAAATTGAGACGTATTCAAATCATAAGAGCTAGTCATCCCCGATATGCGCATATTGAGGAGTTTTATGCATCAAGATTCTAGTGAGCATATCAACGATTACTAGCGTTTATGAATTGTCCGCTACATTCAAATAGGTCTGATGTTGAATCGTATCTTCTTTTCATGTTCTTTCAAAGCAAAGATCAGAGGAAATAAATATATACATTTGTTTGTCCAAAAATCTGCAATTTGTTTTTTCATCACCAAGATATCTTTCCTTTGGTTCCACATCCCTATCCAGCAATAATGAATTGAGTTCGTATAGGCATTTTGGGCTACCTACCTCATGCATAACAATACATTAAAATGTGCATCTCAGATTCTCAAGCAAGATCTAGGCGATCAACATGCCTTCAGAAAAAGTTTCAGTATCATGGATGGGAACACGCACTAAGAGATGATGACTTACAAAAATCTGGGGCAATATTATATCACTAGCCAAAGAGTGCATTATAATAGATAATAATACAATTAGCATGACAATTATCAGATAAAGTGTCACTGACAGAGGATTTCCTTTCTGGAGTTTGTAGCTACTCAATTATGACAAGACACTAGTAAACAAAGGCTTGTGGTAGTACATCTCTAGTCCACCACACATTTGATGTTTGGTATTTTATGCAATATTGATTTCTAAAATTTGTTTTGTAAAGTTAAGAAGGAGAGAGCATTTTGGAAACTAGCATCGAACAAAGACTGAAGGCTATTGATCAAATCTCAGGTTAATGAAAAACAAAAACCAACAAGGACGGTCTTGATTGACAGTGGGACTAGCGAAGCATTTCATTTAATTTATAATTCATTGTGCACTAATTATCCCAGCTCGTGTGCACCTGGGGTTACATGCAGTACCAAAAGGCTATCTAAAGGTTCAACAATGGGCTAACCTCTATGCATGGTATACACGGACCCTTCCACGTAGAAATGGGTGGTGCACATTAAAAGCTTGAGGGGATTGCCATTTATAAGCTGAGCTTGAACAGGCATACCAAATTGTTCAAGCCATGCTAACAAGAGGAGAAGAGGGAGAGGGCTATGATGATTGGTTAATCAACAGTTACCAAGGCTTACGCTTTAATCAAACAAACAAATGATGCAAAAATTTCGATTTACAAAAAGAAAAACGACAAATAATCCTATACTTAGGTAGATACACTGGATGCTAAGTGCAAAAATTTCAGAAAGGAAACACTTGAATAGTTATCAAAACAACATTTGAGACTTGCATACCAGTTAAAACTATAGGGTAACTCCGTGGAAAAGTTGAGGCATCACTAGAATCAAATCCTGATGCATAAAACTCCACACCAGCTGGCAAAACGCACTGCATTTCAACAAATTCTTTAGGCTAAAACAGCAGAACATTCTGAATATGGATGAATGGCTGAAAAGAAGCTCATATAAAATAACAGAACGATGAAAGAAATAAAACCTTTGGTCGAAGATTTTTGGGCAAGTAATTTCGGCTTGGCATATGAGGAAATCGAAGGTAATCACACTTAATTCAACTTGGTTGATATGAAGAATAAATCAAGGTAGCCACAATAAGTTAATAAAAAGAAGCTGAGAACATTCCCATATTATTCGCGATGAATCTGAACACATCAAAATTCAACTAGAATTGAAATATCTTGTTCTTATAAATATTCAAGGTTCAATTGCCAAACTACTATCAGAATATTATGCTAAAACAAGGTTTTTCAATATATAAACTTGAATGTGCAATATTATCTTCTTTTGAAGAAGAAGAAATGAAAAGGCCATAGCAGAACACAAAAAAAAAAAATGACATTTCTTGGCCCCTACATCTAATCACACAAATTATGTATCACCCAAAAGCTTGATCAAGGTTCATGAGACATATAGATGAGATGATCAAACCCATATAAAAACCCATAGGGCAATAATTAAGCTTCCATGCAAGTAATCCTTTCCCTTTACTTTTGTTCTAGCCATTAAATCAAAAACTATAGGCATTATTTCTTGTCTCACAGCTAAGTTATATTCTTTATCGCCTCGCTTGTCTTCATAGCACCTTCAATTCAAACTTAAAATTCTCGTTAGTACAATCATCAGTTCTCATACACCCAAAACTGTTTTGGTGGACTTTCCACCATCTTGTCCTCAATATGAGGAAAATCTAAAGCTGTCAATGACATGTACCCTCTTTTTTCTTTCTAACTATATGCCATAATTCTTTGCTGCCCTAAACAAAGCAACATAACCAACTCATGAGGCATTTCAGGAGTGTATGCCTTTGGTTTCATCCTCAAAATACCCTCCATCCTAGTATTTGCAACTCAAAAGCTACTGTAATTACTTTATTTTTTTGATAGAGCATCCAACCCAAAACCAATTGAGGGTGGAGTAGCCTCTCAAGTATATAAACCAACCTTGGTGATCCTAATTATTCAATGTGTGATACAAGCTCTCCTAACCCTCCTTCACATGGGATTCGAGCTCGCACGTGGATTCAAAAAACAAACAAACAAACAACCATGTACATCAGGAAATTCAAATGAGTTACAGACTTAGCCCACTGACTCCAAGGTTCAGCTCTAATACTATGTTAGAGCAACCAACCCAAAACTAATTAGCAATAGGTGGAGTGGCCCTCACTGGTGGTCCTAATTATTCAAAGTGGAATACAAGCTCTCTTAACATTTTTATACCCAACTCTTTTGGTGGCTAGCCATTTTGCACAATCCACAAAAGGTAGAAGAGGCGACTTTGCTAAATTGCACAATTGAGGCATGCCTCGAGGATTAAATTCAAGCCATTGATGCACTCGATTTNCACCCAAAAGCTTGATCAAGGTTCATGAGACATATAGATGAGATGATCAAACCCATATAAAAACCCATAGGGCAATAATTAAGCTTCCATGCAAGTAATCCTTTCCCTTTACTTTTGTTCTAGCCATTAAATCAAAAACTATAGGCATTATTTCTTGTCTCACAGCTAAGTTATATTCTTTATCGCCTCGCTTGTCTTCATAGCACCTTCAATTCAAACTTAAAATTCTCGTTAGTACAATCATCAGTTCTCATACACCCAAAACTGTTTTGGTGGACTTTCCACCATCTTGTCCTCAATATGAGGAAAATCTAAAGCTGTCAATGACATGTACCCTCTTTTTTCTTTCTAACTATATGCCATAATTCTTTGCTGCCCTAAACAAAGCAACATAACCAACTCATGAGGCATTTCAGGAGTGTATGCCTTTGGTTTCATCCTCAAAATACCCTCCATCCTAGTATTTGCAACTCAAAAGCTACTGTAATTACTTTATTTTTTTGATAGAGCATCCAACCCAAAACCAATTGAGGGTGGAGTAGCCTCTCAAGTATATAAACCAACCTTGGTGATCCTAATTATTCAATGTGTGATACAAGCTCTCCTAACCCTCCTTCACATGGGATTCGAGCTCGCACGTGGATTCAAAAAACAAACAAACAAACAACCATGTACATCAGGAAATTCAAATGAGTTACAGACTTAGCCCACTGACTCCAAGGTTCAGCTCTAATACTATGTTAGAGCAACCAACCCAAAACTAATTAGCAATAGGTGGAGTGGCCCTCACTGGTGGTCCTAATTATTCAAAGTGGAATACAAGCTCTCTTAACATTTTTATACCCAACTCTTTTGGTGGCTAGCCATTTTGCACAATCCACAAAAGGTAGAAGAGGCGACTTTGCTAAATTGCACAATTGAGGCATGCCTCGAGGATTAAATTCAAGCCATTGATGCACTCGATTTTTCTTTATTTTTGGTTTTGTCTTGATATTCCTTGGTCAGCCATAAATACCTCAATCCTCAATTTATTTGCTGAATTTATGGTTGAGACTCACCTAAGGGCTCAGGCTTGTGACTGCTCGTCTCCTTTTTCTCTCTCCATCTACTTTCTCTCCTTGTTCATCCACATATGTTATCGAGTATGTCTAATGCTTATACTTCTTTATCTTTCTTCTTCTTCTTCTTCTTCATCATATCATTAGCACACTTTTTTAATGAGTGGTAAACTTTAGCCCCAAACCCAATGTCTGTAACATAACCAAGACCAACCTGTTTTTTAATAGTTCTATAGGCCCTTTTTGTCCTTTTTTTGACTTTTTGTATGCATTTTTGAGGCCAAGAGCATTTCTAGTTAATATTACTTATCCCAATGTCCTATTATTTCTTGGTTATGTGGCTGTGAGTAATGGCTTCTATGTTTGTTTCTTTATATTAAATTCATTGTGAAATGATTTTGATTCTTTATACTATTTTCAATATTTAGCATTTGAAAAATTAGAAATTGGATGCTTCTGATTCTTTGCACTATTTGCAATATTTAGTATTTGAAAAATTGGAATGCTTCACAATCCAATGAATTCACATACCAAACTTCAAAATAAAAGGCACACGAATAGGAAGTTAACTCCATGTGTTTCCCTTTTTTCTGCCTCACCCTATGGAAACTCCGGAACGAGAGAAACAGGGAGAGCATTGAGAGTACCAGTTGCAGGTCCCATAAACTCAGTTTAAAGAGGTTAACAATCTTTTCTCCACAGACAGTCACGTTACCCTCCAAACTGCCCTAAATTATTGGTTGGTATTCTCCTACCTAAAATTCAACGCAAAGGATTGCAGAGAGATGACAGTTGACAATGGGTCAAAGGTTCGTATGGAAAAATTGGATTCACATACTACCTAGCCTATCCACAAAGCTTTGGCCCATTCTGAAGGGCTTGTAGATGCTTCAGAGGGAGGGAATCTCTAATGTTATACTGGACTCTGAATTCTGCAAAATTATCAGACTCTTCACAAAGGCCACAAGAAATGAAAATCCCCTCAACGAACTCATTAAGGACTTCATGATTCTCAAGGACTTATGAAGATTCAAGCACTTCACACACTCAGAGAAGAAAACAATGATGCTGACTAGTTAGCAAACATGGAAAGGACTATACCAAAAACTGATGGAATTGGACCAACCACCACAGACTCTAGGCCCGTTGCTGATTGCAGATATGTGTGGAATGTCCTATGTTAGGACAGTCTTTTTAGCTTTCTGAAGTACCAAAAAAATTATATAAATCCAATATAGGTTTCATTTGTTTTTTTCAGAGCTTTGGCTTTTGTTGGTGTATTGGTGCTGTTACCTGTGTACATGGATCTTTTGTATTTTTATCCACCACGTACAGTTGCTGCACATTGAGTAAAAAAATTCACTTGCAAAACAAAATTCACCACAATATAACAAAAATCCACCTCCGCAAAACAAAACTTCAGGAGAAGAAACATTCAAACGAATGTGTCTAAACTGTATATCTAGCACTTCCCTAAAAAATGTCTCCAACATTTCAGACTACTCAACTTGCAATGCCAATACAATCAAACTCAACTCAATCATCATACCGCACACAAAGCTCAAACTTCAAATCAAATAAACAATAGATTCATTGTTAAATAACGGAATTCGAAATCCAATACCATTAAATGCTTACAGTGGGAAGCTGCGGAGGCGGAGGAGGGTAGAGAGAGTGATTAGGAGGAGGGTACTGATCCAGAAGCGAAGGCAAGTACATCTCCTCTGTTCCATGGAACCCTCTGTTCCCATCCAGGGTCCGAATCTCAGGTCCCAACCCACACACAACGAAGTACTCAAAGAGCCGTGCCATTTATGAATTTCTTTCTCTCTAACTGCTTTGAATCAATTAGAGAGTCCAGTAATCAATTAGATAGAGGAGAGGGGATTCAACGCTGTATACATAACTAAGGTTTCTCTCAGATCTGAGTTTCAGAGTCGAGAGAGAGAGAGAGAGACGTCGAAGATTTGAAAAGGTGACCTGCTGGGTGGACTACGTGATGGCCGAGTGTGCAATTCGGCTCGGGTTAATTGGCTGGATGCGACCCAGAACCAGAAAGTAAATAGTCAGTTCCCCTTTTAGGCACAACTATTTGTTTTTGGGTTAATTATAAATTATACACCAAAAGATCGTTTAAATTTTAATTTATACCTCAAAGATCACAAATTTTAATTTATAACCTTCAAAAATAGAAATTTGTATCAATGTGCACCTAAAACTAACCGTCGTCAGTTTGCTACCTAAATTAAATTGATAAATTATACCTAAATACTCTCATATTTGTCGGTTAATCATTTAGACCCTTTTACATTTAAAATATTACTCCTACATCTCATAACGTTTGTACACGTATAACACGTAACCCTTTTTTGTTAATATAACCGTTAAAAAATATGATTTTGTCCGAATAAAAAACTATAATTTTATATTACCTTTTTTTTTGTGGGTCCGATATATTCTAAAGTTCAAAATCAAGCTTACCATTTGAATGTCCAACAGAATGTAGGTATTTATATAATATTTTTATATGCAATGCAATATATTACTTAAACATAATTATTTGAATGTCCAATTAGCCGGACATTTTAAATTTAGAGTTTTATTAAGATTTTATAACCGTTAAAAAATATGATTTTATCCTAATAAAAAATTATAATTTCATATTATCTTTTATTTTGTGAACGGGTCCAAATGATTAAGTGACTAGTATAAGACAATCTACATATAATTTATCAATTTAGTTTAAGGCCGCAAACTAATGACAGTTAGTTTTATGTGCACATTTTATATAAATTTCTATCTTTGAATGTGCAAATTGAGATTTTTTATCTTTAGGAGTGCACATTGATACAAATTTCTATCTTTTATGGTGTAAATTAAAAATTTTTATCTTTGAGGGTACAAATTAAAATTTAAAAGATCTTTTGGGGTATAATTTATAATTAATCCTTTGTTTTTAGGGTAAATTGCAATTTACACACTTAAAGTATGGGCTTAATTCTTATTTGGTCCTTGAAGTTTCAAATATGACAATCAAATTCTTAAGAGTTTTAATTGGGTTTCAATTTAATCTTTACGTCAAAATTTATTAATTTATTATGAATGAATGATCTTCTGTGATCAATACATAACTTGGGTCAAAAGTATATTTGTCTGGTAAAATATCTTTTACGCATAAGTTAGAAAACTTGACTTTATTTCATTTGATATGGAAAAATATAAGATAACAAATCTGGGGAAAAAAATAGGGTTAATTATAAATTACACTCTGAAAGATTGTTCGAATCTTAATATGTACCCTCAAAGATTAAAAATCTCAATTTATACCCTCAAAGATAAACATTTATATCAATATGAACTCTTAAAGATTAAAAATCTCAATTTGCACCATCAAAGATAGAATTTTGTATCAATGTAAACCCCCCAAAAATCAAAAATCTTAATTTGCACCCTCAAAAATAGAAATTTGTATCAATGTGCACTTAAAACTAACTACCGCCAGTTTGCTACCTAAAACTAAATTGATAAATTATACATAGATCCCCTCATACTTGTCACTTAGTCATTTGGACCCCTTCACATTTAGAATATTACTCTTACATCTCATGACGTTTGTACATGTGTAACACGTAACCCTTTTTTGTTGATATATGTTAATATAACCTTTAAAAAATATGATTTTATCCTAATAAATAGGTAAATTACTCCTAAACCCTTTCATGATTGTCACTTAATCACTTATACCTCTCAGATTTAAAATATTACACCTACATCCATTGAGAATCTAAATATGCCTAAAAATGTCCCCCCAATTGGTCATTCAAATAATTCTATTTAAGTAATGTATTGCATTGGATATAAAAAAATATTATATAAATACCTACATTCTATTAGACATTCAAATGATAAGTCTGATTTTGAACTTTAGAGTATATCAGATGTGCAAAATAAAAGGTAATATGAAATTATAATTTTTTATTAGGATAAAATTATATTTTTTAATGGTTATATTAACATATATCAATGAAAAAAGGGTTACATGTTACACGTGCACAAACGTCATGAGATGTAGGAGTAATATTCTAAATGTAAAATGGTCCAAATGATTAAGTGATAAGCATGAGGGGATGTAGGTATAATTTATCAATTTAATTTTAGGTAGTAAACTAACGGTGGTTAGTTTTACTTACACATTGATACAAATTTCTATATTTTAGGGTGTAAATTAAAATTTTTGATCTTTAGGGGTGCACGTTGATACAAATTTCTATCTTTGAGGGTACAAATTAAGATTCTTTATCTTTGGGGGTGTAAATTGAAATTTTTTATCTTTTGGGGTACAAATTGAGATTTGAACCATCTTTCAGGGTATAATTTATAATTAATTCAAAAAAAATAAGAAAAAGATATTGTGACACAAAGAGAGAAATGTCAATATATTTGAGAGAGGGATTTTATGCTGGACAAATACACCCTTACAGGCAAGTCCTGTGACAAGACAAAAAAAAATTAATAGATTTACATGAAAGTACTAGATTAAACCTCATTTAACATATGAAAGTATTAGTTAGTTTCTAACCATTTACATGGATTTACATGAAAGGACTTTCAAGTATTAGTTAACTGAGTACTAGATTTCATGAAAATACTAGATTAAAAATTAATAGACTTACATGAAAGTACTAGATTAAAACTCTTACTGTGAAACCCGGGAAAAATTTTAACCTTTTTCTGAAAAAAGGGTAAAATGGTAATTTGTCATTATAGTGCGGGTTAAAAATTGATATTTTTATAGACCTCGGATGATGAAACGGACCTCACCGTTGGATTCGTCTTACGAAATCTAGTTACCTAGACAAATTTCATCGAATTCTGAAATAGTCAGATTTTTCACATTTTTCGAGGTGACGGGTGTTCGATGACCCCTAAAAATGAAATTTTTATAAAAATTTTAAAATTTGAAAAATATTTTAAATAAAGTTCATATAAAATATTTTGAGCTTAAACCGGTACGAAATTTAATCGTTTGGGGGTGAAAACGGACCCGGACAAAGGATGACACTTGACGCGACGAGGGCCATGTGTTTAGAAAGTATAAAAGTGGGCAAATATCTGAAAAATCAGATGTTTTCTCTTCATTTGGCCGGCTGGATCAGACCCAAGAGCAAAGAAGAAAAAAAAATAATTCTTCAAGCTTTCTTTCGCCGATTCTCGGAGTTTCGTCGGTCAGAATTCGTCGGGCCAAGAATTAAAGTCGATCTACGCGACGAAAGCTACGCGTGGATACCAAAAACAAAGATTTTCACCGAAGATTCAAAGGGAGAATTTTGGAGAAATCTTTGGGCTTCAATCTTGTTCTTGAGGCTTCCTACAAATTCTTTACGCTTCAAGAGGTAGGGTTCCTCCTACTCGGACCTATTTCTAACCTAAGGTGTCCATAGGGTTCATGTGGGCTGTTTTGGGTATTTCTAATATTTTTCCATTATGATTGGTGCTATGGAAATTGATAGGATCAATTTTAGTGTGAATTGGTAGTTAGAAAGTACTAGTTTGTAATTTCTTGAATGTTTAGATAATTGGTTATATAAAAATCATATATTCTGATTTTTATTTTGTTTGAATGATCCATATAAAATCTTGGCTTGATTTTGGTATATGGAAGTATTTATGTAATCCCTTGGAAATTGGGATCATGTGTGCATGCTTTGTGTTTTATATTATGCCTTGTGAATAAAATGTAATATTAACATGTATTATGTGTTATCATGTTGATGGAGTGTTGATATATGCTCTTGGATATATTGAACTTGAAATGGTTATGTGATTATATGCAAATGATATTAATTGTCATGGTATACAATGATATTTAAAAATTGTCATTTGGCATGCATTGCAATATGGACATGGAATTAACATCACATTCATGGGCTACATGCATGAGTGTGGGTGTAGGGTTGCATGGGGTGATCAACACCNTGTAAAAAATGTCATTTGGCATGCATTACAATATGGACATGGAATTAACATCACATTCATGGGTTACATGCATGAGTGTGGGTGTAGGGTTGCATGGGGTGATCAACACCAACATTGGTTCTTGATGGTAGGCTCGGGAAAGTGGGATGGAATGTCCTACGGAGTCGCACGGTGACATGCATAAGAAAACTTGTGTCGGGTATAGCAAGTAGGGCTAGACACTCCCTCGGGTGAAAAACCCGACCACTTGGTTCATACACTTACCGGCGGTGAAATTCCAGAAAAGTGTAACGGCGTACGGAGCCGGAGGTGCGATTCCTGAATCCGATACCCCATAAAGGCACATGATTTTGATATATAAATTATTCATTTGATGGGAAACATCCAAGAATGAATTAGTTTTATGACATATGGTTGATTTCAAAATGATCTTTGGATGTGTTTCATCAAAGACGTTTGTTTTACACGTAAGTGTCGCATTGTGTTGTGGAAGTCGGTGTGAGCTCGAGATAGCATGCATGAGTGAGTTTTATCACATTACTTGGCATGACATCATGATTTTCTAACATTGTATTATATGTTATTGTTGGAGGAAATACTTGTTGTGAAATGTTGCATGTATACATTGCATATGCATTTTAGGTGATGAGTAGCCTCTGTAGGGATTATTCTACTGGGCATTGGCTCACCCTATACGGGAAACATTTCAGGTGTGGGTCATGCACCAATGGACGGCTCACAATCCGGGTCACATGGTTGAAGAAAAGTCGACTTGTGGCTTCCAATCCATTTTTTTTTTTAAAAGTAGATTTGTAATTAAATTTTGGCATGTAATG